AAGCATGCTCACACTGCCGTCCTTTACGACCGCAGCCTCGGATCTGAATTTACAGGAGTTCTTCTTGAGGCACTCGGCCAGCGCTAGCTCGCTGCCAAGCAGAGACTCAGAGGAACAACAGAAGCAGCAGGAAGAGCAGGAGCATCGGCATCGGCATCATCACAGAGATCGACACAGGTCGGTACACTTTGATGAAGATGCTGGTGAGGATCAGCCGAAATCTGTTGATCCTCATTGGCGTCGACGCACAAGTCTGCTCAACGAGGGTAGGGACATTGAGGACTTCCAGGACAGCTTCCGCGACGTCATGAAAGCCAAGACGCGGGTGCTGAAACAGCGTCGCCGGCGACCCAACAGGACGTCTATGGATCTCGAAACTCGGCTCAACACTATGGCCAACCAGCGAATCCCAACACGAGAACGGTTGAGCAAATCGACGGGGACAGAGACTGCTGAGCAAGATGAGCAGAATCGGGACACCGTGGAGTACGAGAATGATTCTGATGAGTCAGGCGATGCCATCGTCATACCAAAGAAAGACTATCCCCGAGAGAAGGGATCCTCAAGCACAATCGATTTCCACCTCGGAGATGACGAGCAGTGAGTAGGTGGATGAAGGGAGCTCCTTTGGCGCACGTCTCCACCCCCAGGCAGCGATATCCTTTGACGCATGTACATTCATCTTAATCTGTATATTTCATATCCACTACATCCGAAAATGACGGCAGAGATGCATGGTGGGCCTGATACCCTAAGCATCTCCCGACATATATATCTTTCATATAAATCGTCTATGTTTTCTATTTTCTGTTAGTTTCTATGTCACTTCTTTGTAATAAGGAGACGAAAAAGCAAACAAGACCATGATTTGTTTGTTATTTTTGTTAGTAAGAGTAAATGGGAGCGAGCGAGTTTGTCTTCTGCCTTACAATTTTGGGGTTAACGAGGGAGGGGTAACAGCTGATAACAGCCGACATGGTGAGGGAGATAGCACTCTACTTTGGTGTATTTGTTTTCTTAAATGCCATGTCTTTGCACTTGCATTTTTAGCCTAAATTACTAGGAAAGAATAAGCAAAAGTCAGCTGTAATATTTCCTTGAGAGAATGCTTAATGTTGCCAGAGGACATAGAAATTATAGGAATGTGTACTGCAAATGACCTTTCGCTAATTTCCACGGAGATAATGATAATTCTCGTAGTTAGAATTGCGTTTACTGTCATCGTTTGGAGCAGGGCAAGTGCTAAAGGTATGTTTTGTACAGATGTAGGGCTGCCCTTGATGTATATGCAGAGTCACCTGCATTTACTTTAGAAACTATCGAAAAACATACAGTTTAGTTAATTGCTGCAAGTTTATCGTGCCTTCAAGTTATGGGTGGGCGTGTTTGGTGTGAAAAAATGTCAACTAAACATATAGAGGAAGAATCAATCTAGGTTATCGGCTACCTTAGCCTCGACTTGTGGTACTGTCAGAATGATTAATGCATTCTGCTTCATTTTTATAAATTGTACAAAAATGATGTTAGAGACTACCCGCATTATATAGAGTACCGATTGGGCTAAAAGACTGGTTTTCGATTCCCGATGCTGGCTAAACTTTGCTTAGAGTGTTTAACTGACGGTCTGCATTGTTCTTAAGAGAATGCTGACGCTAAACTGTGTCTACTACACGCAGCAAAGATAACATCTGAACTGTTACATTCTCAGTTTTGGAACTGTGCTCGTTGTCTGGGTGCTACCGTTATCCAGGAAACCAACAGAGAATGCCCTTCCTCAAGCCTCGACGTGACATGCTGCCTCAGTTCATATCAGTCTTCTGCTTCAACTCTAGATCCAAAGAATTCACGAACCATCACTACACTACCTTGTATACAGTACGCGTCGGAATTCATGCAATATGCCGACATATGCAAAAGACTGATACTCTTTTGCTAATCGGCATTGACTCGGGTTGTGACACTTATTATCGTGTAGTCTATTCTGAAGTTATTTCAGTCATGATGGGATGCGGGCTTTTTAACGAGCTCCGTTCTGACCACTATCAAAACGTTTGTACTGTAAAAAGTAAATACTTAAATAATATACGACTATGTCATTGATTTTGACTACCTTTAATATTCAAATATATTTTATGGAAAGCATTCACGACAAAATTATTTCTTGTATTCATTTGGTAGCAAATTACGCCTTCTTTAATTTTTGTACTAAAAGAAGGGATATCCTTCGCTTGTAGAAAAAATTCTAATTATGA